AGAGAGAGAGAGAGAGAGAGAGAGAGAGAGAGAGAGAGAGAGAGAGAGGATGCAGATGGACCCTCATATAGAATTGACGTACCTTCACACCTTAAGACCTATCCTGTGTTTCACGCGTCTAAACTACTGCCATATGTAGAGGGACATGATTTTCCCAACAGACCATCCATGTTTCCTCCTTCAATGAATGGTGGCTATGAAATTAAGAAGATACTAGAACATGGATACTTCTCTACAGGTGGAAGATGAAGACCACAGAAGCGGTTCAAGGTAAAGTTTAAGCCTCAGCCCCCGTCTGAAGCTAGATGGTTTAGCAAGAAAGAACCATTACCTACTGCTCCTGACATTATCTCTGCATATGAGCGCGGTTTAAAAGAAAGTTAATGTATTTCTGCGATGGAACTAAAAAATTGGGCCGGCAGGAATGCAATAACCCGCTCCAATATGCCTCGTTGTTGTCCACCCCGTAGGCCAAGGAAAAGGCCTTTCGGCCCTGCGTCCGATTGGGGTGGGAAAACAGAGCCCCTGAGATGTGGCTCAGAGGCCCTGCACCCGACAGTTGACCAAAAGTCAACTGTACGAGGCCCACGAGTCAAAGTCTGCATGGACCCAGCGTAGGCCGCGGATCAGACATACACACTTGTTTGTACGCAGGTATCCAGACAGCATTCGGTCCAAGTGGAAGTCTGCAACTGTAAGAGATCTGGGCCGTCGGCTGCGATTCAATCTGAGCCTCCGTGGGCGTGTGACCAGAGGCAGGTCAACTTCGTCAACTCTACTTATTGACCCTGCCTCCGGACGTCAACATTCAGTCTTGCCTTGCGGACTTGACGCTGGCTTGACGCTGGCTTGACGCTGACTTGACGCTGGCTGGACGCTGGCACTGTGTGACGACGAAATGAGACTGCTGCGCCACGTGCTGAGGCCTTTCTGCTCTGGCGCCAGCTGTCTTCTTGCATTGCTGACGTGGCGCATGCCACGCTGTCTACATTGCTGATGTGGCGCATGCCATGCTGTCTACATAGCTGACGTGGCGCATGCTATGCTGTCGTCGACAATGCTGACGTGGCGCATGCCACACTGTCTTCATTGCTGATTGGGTTGCGACAAGGAGGGAGATCGGGATCTGTGGGATTGGTTGGTTGATCGAGAGGGGACTTACCTGTTGTTGATGTCGATACTGCGCGCTGCAGAGAAGTCTTCATTGGAGATCTGTGCCACGTGGCACATTGTTGTGATCAGATCTTGTCAAGCTCGTTTCTGGACACTGTTTTGCTGACGTGGAGGAGAGGGACTGCCCGAAGAAGAAGAGGGGCTGCTGCATATGTCGTTCGTCTGGCAAGGATGAGAGAGATCCTACTGCTATTGCAGCAGGTGTGCGGATTTTCACCACAACAGCCCCTGTTCCACCCAGATGAGTAGATCCAAAATTGATGCAGCTTTACCTCTGTCGCAGTCAATGAAACAGTTTTACCTGTATACAAGCAACGTAGAGCAGAATAGATCCGTTGTATCACTTTCTGAAACGGTTTTCACCTATAACGGTGACAGATGCAGAACCCAGGGCTCGATCCCTAGACCTCCCCCTTACCCGTGTATAGTACCCGTTGACCTGTGTGCTTGAACCAGCGACCTGTTTCTCAAATGTCGTATGTTCTGACTGCTGTACATAGGCGGTCACGAGGTTTCGACCCGTAGACCTTAGAATAGGAAGTCATAGGGTTGGTATAGGTTGTACCTGGTACAGTTCCGAAAGGTCAAGTCCACGACCTTCTAGAAGCTGTAGAACTGGCTCTCCGTAGGGTCAGTCAGCGGCTGAGTCAGCAAGGGGAAGTCCCAGTCCTACCTAGTCCAGTCAGCGGTACCCAGTCCCGGTCGCGCTTTGTCCAGTCAGCAAGTACCATGTGGGACTGTGTGCACCCCCGGGGCCAGGGTCCAAGGGCAGACCAACGACAATCCCAAGTATAAATAAGGAGGCAGCGACAAGTCATGGATTCATTCTGCCTGTGAGCCGTGCGGAAGCGCTGTCGGAGCGTCTTGTGCTACGGAGGTCTACAGGTGGCCGAGGAAGAAGAGGGCTAAGAGGAGGAAGACGCGGCCATAGCCGCTAGTTAGTAGGAGGAGGTTGACGGCAGCCATACCTGCCCGTAGGTTAGTGGTGGGAAGTGTGTATGTATAGAGTGTGTGAGTGTGTGGGATATCCAGGGTGATCCGAGTGTGTGTGTGTGTGTGCGTGTGTGTGTGTGTGCAAATAAGTTGCTGGTGGATACAGTTGATCGGGCGGGAATCTTTGTTTGGCGTTGTCGGTGCGAATACCCTTACAAGGTTATCCACCCTGGTTTTTGCAAGTAACGTAATATATAAAAGGGCCTTTACCCGATATAGGCCTCAGGCCTTGTAAAAATAAAGCAGCACGGGCCTTGAAAAAGTTAAGCATTGTGAAAAGGTATCTCGTCAGAGCTCAGAAACGTGAAAGCAGGTCAAAGGTCAAGTTCTCTGTYAACAGGCATATCTAAAGCTAAGGCAAAGGGCATTGTCAAAAGACTTACCTGTTCACCAGGAGATGTGTATGTCATGTCTGTTTGGGTAAGAGTGTGTCTGTWCGTGCAGGCAGTGTACCTGTTCGTGCAAAGTAAAGTGTCTGTTCAAGCAGTAAATGTGTYTGTTCGTTGAGAGTTGTGCCTGTCCGAAAATAAAGTCAATAGGCACAGTCCCAGTTCTGGTCTAAGTCTAGGGGTCAGTCCAGATCCAGACCTTCAAGTCCAAATTCAGGCCGGGAGGCCTCAGCAGCAGTTGAACTTCATTGGGACTCTACTGGGACACATGCAATGCAGGGTCTGGGACAAAAAGAAGGCTGGTTTGAGCCAATGCAGACCCAGCAAGGAGTATAAAAGAGGCAGCCAGCCTCATTCCTGGCCAGATCTCCACTGGCATTCTATGCGTGGAAGTGCTGGTGCACTTGTGCGTTGAGCCAGTAGGAGCAGCGCTGGAAGGAGAAGATGCGCTGAGTGAAGGGAGAAGCCTGTATGCTGGAAGTGATGCAGCCATAGCTGCCCAGCAAGTTAGCATTAGTAGTAGTGGGTTAGTATGTAGCTA